GTCATTCTCCTGCTCTGTATGCTAAAGCACATTCAGTTGTGGCCTTTGTGATGATTTAACTAAGCTAATACTATAAATGAATTGGGAGCATGAGTACACAAAGGTGAATTTGTTTTGTTTTTTGTAGTGTATAGTACAACATGATTTGCAAAACAAGATCAACTAAAAACGGATGTGACTTGTATTTCCTCAGTGGTAAATGGTAAATGTCACAGGGTCACAGTTGTACTCAGGTGTGTTTCATTCATAAAGTCATATTAAAAGTCACTGCAGTGGCGATCTGGGGGGGGGGGGACTATGTGTGCACACACTAGTGTAGTGTCAAACGATTGCTGTTACAGTCATGTTACACCATGTCACACATCAGTTACTCGTCCACTCGCAATGTAAATGATTTAAAATTATAATATTTTATGGATTCAAACAAATTTCAAGAATGACACTTTGAGTTATGCAGATGTGAAACTGTTTCATTCACTGTGAACTTTTCTGCTTTACAGTGGCAGCAAATTCACTTGCATTGACAATGCACAAAATAATAACAATAATACCAGTAAATGCCACAACAAACATTAATGGACTTGAGCAAACTTGGTGCTCCATATATGTGCTTACCCTCACACATATGTTACACAAATGCTTTTGACCATTATGGGTTGGAGGGTTGTCCATTATCATATCAATAATATGGAAACACAATCACTGTAGCATTATGCATTTCTTACCCGACACTGATCAATCTGTTGTTTTATTTTATGTGGATCTTCACCAAGTGCTTCTGCATCATTCAAACACTTCTCAATTGATTTTAATAGTTCATCGACTTTATTGTACACATCATAGAATTCTTTTGTCAATGAAGCTTCCTCCATGTTTAGTTTTCTTTCTTCTAGAAGTGTACACACATCTTCCCATCGCTCATTAAAACTTTCCAAAGTTTGTTCAATCACATCAGGTGTTTCTCCAACTTTAAATATAATGGTAATATCAATTAAATAAAGCTATATGTTGGGTAACTATCAGACCATTAAAACAAATGTTTTATAACTCATACCAATTAC